TTGGCATTGTCCCTGGAGATGGTGAAGCGTCCCTTGACTTTGTCTGAGTAGTAAATAGTGCCGGAAGTGGAGCTTATGTATGCCACCCATTCCAGTCCTTTCCCTGGATACTGTCTCACCCAGTCCATGCTATAGCTGCTGAAACTGAATCCAGAGCCTTGGCAGGAGAGGCGGAGGTAGTCTCCACGTCTTCTCACATCCCCTCCAGACTCCATGAAACTGGCTTCTGACTGTGCAAGAGGAAAGAAAGGGAATTTAGTAAGATGTTCTAGAAGTAAACACAGGAAAAACGGGGTAATAAATGTGTTTTTTGGCGGGAAAACAATACCTCTGAAGACTGTTAATAGTGATATGAGGCTTAGCCAGAGTGTTATTTTTGCTCACTCTTAATATCAGAGGAGTCTTACCAATGGGAAAACAGCAAGATAGGCACTCAAACTTTGTCTTGTTGGACATAGAAGCAGAGCAGGATCATAGGGCTCCTTTGAGCAAGAAGCGATCCCTGAATTTACACAGCCCTCAGGATAAAAGTGGGATGTGGTGCTTTGATGTTCTAGAGTTCCTTCAACCTACATTATGCACATTGTTTTGTGATGATGAACAAATCAAGGCATAATTTTCAAATCCCTAAGAAATATGTGAAGGAGCAGGGTCATTTCAAAGGAAGTAAAACCACGTCTTGCTATATGAAAGGCCATGCGGCACATTTCAACTGAAAACTGCACCTGAAGTTACATAGCTTTGGGGATCAAAGCACCACTTAGTGATTTGACATTCTGGATTTCCTTCAGCCATGAGATTTAGATGATGAACAACTCCTGAGCTGTGCTGTGGAAGGACAGACTGCCTGAGTGGATTAAAGGCACCTGTGCTCCTTCTTCCCCCTTCCTTTCAGTCCTGCCCTGTTGTTAGGATGATGTAGCTGCCAGTCAAACAGCAGCTGCGAATTAAACAGCAGCATTGGGTAGGAGGTGGGAGGTGGGGGGTGGGGAAGACAAGATGGCTGCCAGGATGGTCTGAGGCCACAGGGCTCATGAAGAAGAAGCTGGATAAACAGAGACAAAGCCCAGGAGTCAAATAAAGAGGCAAACTGGAGGATAGACAGCCCTGATGAGGACAGGCCCCCGGAAAGGAAGCAGCAGCTGAGAGAACTGGGGAGAAAGTGGCATTTTTTTCCTTCCCTCAGGATTGGCATGAGGGAAAAAATCCTCAAGCCATTTCCCTCAAATGGAGCTAAGATTCAGAAGAGGAGGAAAATTAAGAAGCCCAGCCAGGAAGATACAAGCAGAAAAGACAAAGAAAAAGTGAAGACATTGACAGAACAGGAATAGAAAGCAGAAATTAAAAAGAATATAAACTTTATATTAAAGTTGGACTTCTGAAGACAATAGAGTAGATAAAGAGTTTAGAGATAATAGGTAGTTGAAATAGGAAATTGCTTTATTATTAAGACCCATTTCTACCCTAGTCTTCAACTTCCTTTCCATAATTTCTAAGGTTTCTTTTGAAATATAAAAGGCTCCCTCCAGCCACTGAAAAGAGATACAAAACCCAACCAGCTGCCAGGTGCTTTGTATCTATTGAATGTGTGTCAGTCTCGTTAATGGTGGTTTAGGGGGGGGGAAAAAAAACAGCAACCCCATTAAGAAAATATATTCAAATTGTTACACATTTGAGAGGCAGATTTTTAAGAAGTAAAACACTGTCTTGCAAAAAGTCCAAGTCAGAAAAGTATGTTGTTGGGCACAGCAGGAGAGCAGGTGACATGGCTCCTTTGCACAGGAAGCTGTCCCTGAATTTATATAGCCCTCTGGATAAAAGAGCCTCGCACTGCTTTGACCTTTGAGAGTTCCTTCATCCTAAAATTTCGACATGGTTTTCCAATGCTGAACAAGTCCCAAAACCAGTCAAGGCACAATTTTTATTTGATTAAGAAATAAGTAAAGCAGCAGGGTTATCTTATAGGAGGTAAAACCATGTCTTGCAACATGAAAGGTCATATGGTTCATTTGAGCAGCAAACTGCGGTTGAATTCCGATAGTCTTCTGCATGAAAATGCCAGTCCCTGCTCTGACCGTCTAGAAATTTTTGAGCCTATGTTATTGACATATTTGGATGATGAACAAGTCTGAAGCCCATCAAATTGTTATATGAAGAGGGGCATATTTTCAAGGGTGAAGCTTTTTCTTTCAAATTCTTCAACTTGGAAAAATGTATCTAGAATCAAAACTCAAAACCAACATGCAGAAACACCCATGTAAAATTATTTTAATAGCCACAGTAGAGTCAGAATGGGAGGGCATATGGTATTTTACCCATTTTGATAAACTTTCCCTTAACCATGGTTTGTTAAAGAAACTAGAGTTAAACTAATCTTCTAAGCAACAAAGAATGTTTTCCAAAAGACAAAGATCGAATTGAAAAAGCTAGACACATAAAACACCCAAGAAATCACTTTACAACCAAGCACATGGAGTTGTAGATTTCCTTCAACCTACATCTTAGAGATCTTTTGTGATTCTCAACAAGCCCCAACACCAGTTATGTTTTGTTTTGTTTTGTTTTTTTTATGATTCTTCACAATTTCAGTGTAGCAGTTGAAGCTGTGGTTTCTGGATGAACTTGCAGAGCTGCTCTGAGGAACGTGCAGTTTTTGCCTAGCTTCAGATTCACTTCCTCTCACTGTGTCTCTCGCACAGTAATAGACCGCTATGTCTTCTTCTTTCAGGTTGTCCATCTGCAGAAACAGCTGACTTTTGGCATTGTCCCTGGAGATGGTGAAACGTCCCTTGACTTTCTCTGAATAGTATTTATTACTGGAATCATACCATATGTATGCCACCCATTCCAGTCCTTTCCCTGGACTTTGTCTCACCTAGCTCATGTCATAGCTGCTGAAGGTGAATCCGGAGCCTTGGCAGGAGAGGCGGAGGGAATCTCCAGGTCTTCTCACATCCCCTCCAGTCTCCACCAACTGGACCTCTGACTGGACACCTAGAAAGAAACATTGTTTAATAAGATTCTTGTGCAGGGAAACACCAAAAAGGGGATAAAAGACTTCTGTTTGGAAGGGAAAAATAATACCTCTGAGGAGTATTGATGATAATATGAGGTTTATCCAGAGTGTCATTTTTTGTCAAGCTAAAAGTCAGAGGAGTCTTACTGATGGGAAAACATTCAGAGAGGCACTCAATCTTTGTGTTGTTGGGCATAGAGGAGAGCAGGAAGATATGGCTCCTTTGAGCAGGAAGCTGTCACTCAATTTGCATAGCCCTCAGGATAAAAGAGCCACGCGATGCCCTGACTTTCTAAATTTCCTTCAACCTACATTGTAGACATACTCTTGAAATGCTGAAGAAGTCCCAGCACCACTCAAGGCAGAATATTTTAATCGTTAAGGAATATGTGAGGCATTAGGCTTATTTTATAGAAAGTAAAACTAGGTCTTGGAGATTCATCCATTCAGAAAAATGTCTTTAGAATCAAGTCTCAAACCTAAGGTGGAGAAGCACTCATCAATGATTCTTTAATACCCACATTAGAGAGAGAATGGGAGGACTCATGTGACCATCTCAATTTGGATAAGCTATTTTTCTTTAACAATGTCATATTAGATAAACCAGAATTAATTTAGTGTCGACTAAGCTGAGAAGAACGATTTGTGAAACACTATACTTGAGTCTCCCCAGAATCAAAAAACAAAAAAATCAGATTATGACCACACGCATCCCAGAGGACTGAGAAAGAGGAATAAATCATTTTGCGTTATCCCAAAAATTCAGTTTGCTTTATATTCAAGATAAAAGCACTGGAGAGAACTCCCCTTGGAATTACAGA